AGGACCTTCAGCACTGCCCTCTCCCACCTGAGCTAGAAGAATAACGTCATTAGCTGGCAGCAGCAGTAGTAGGCTGTTATCCTCAGGGGGTGGGGACAGGACCATGCTTTTGACACCATGTTACAAACAGGTGACTGAGGGCTCCCTACTTTAAACCAATGCTGGGTGAGCATAATATCTCCCCCTAGTGGTGGGACCCAGCCACAACACCCTGCTGTGACGAACTGGGCCTGTTCTCACTGTGGTCGGTGAATGCTGACAGGGGAGTGTGGCTGGGATAGTCTGCATTGGAGGATGGGAGACGGCCCGAGGGCACATACCTGAGCTTGTAACATGAGAACCCAGGAAGGGGTTGGAGGCCAGGTGACTCCTTAGCCCGGGAAACTGAACAAAGGCTGTGGGAGGGGTCGCTGAAGCCAGAGTGTGGGAAGCAGGCTGGAGAGATGGCTGGGAGGCAGAGATGGCTCTGACCTCCCAAGGGGGGCTGGGCTGGGATGCCCTGGGACCCCAAGATGGACCTAACTGAGGGGGTCCCTGTTGTCTGTGCCTGCAAGACCTGTCTTGGACTGTATTCCTGTCATCCAAATAAACCTTCTGCTTTACTGGCTGGCTGAGAGTCGCAGTGAATCGCAGGAAGCCGGGGGGTGCAGGGCCCTGAGTTCCCCAATACTCCGTGACACCTGCTACAGAGTCCCAGTAACCAATGTGCTCCTAGAGGCCTGGGCACTGATGATCCCAGGTTCAATTCCTGCTGATGAAGGCTGCATGCATGTGGAAGTTATCCAGGCTCTCCTCTGCCCGCCGCCCTCGCCCTCCTACCTTCCTCTGGTAGATGGCGATCCAGTCGGTGGTAGCAAACCACTTGTGGTTCTTGATGTCATTGACCCCGTTCTTGAGGTTGCCAAAGCGTTTGGTGAGGTCCACCTGCAGCAGGTTCCGGAGCAGGTCCTTCAGGTCCGAGCTGAAGTGAGACGGGAACCGGACCTGGGGTGGGGAGGAGAGACAGAGGTCTGGCTTTTACCTGCCCTGCCCTGCCCTCGTGGCTGGAGTCATAGATACACCTAATAATGTACAGCCCCTAGCACAGAGGGGTGCTGACCCATGACTGGGGCTTGTAGGCACTATTGTAATACACCTAATAATAAATAACAAGCCCTTTAAAAACACTCCAGGACAATGAGTGGATGAGAAGTGGGAGCGCTACTGAGGACTGACACAGGAGCTGAAATGGTTAATTAGCAGCTCCCCCCAGCTCTTATTGAGCATTTTTCCTCCACAGATCTCAAAGCAGGGCTGCCGCATCACTATCCTCATTTTACATAAGGGGAAACTGAGGCACGGGGCGACGTGACTTGCCCACGGTCATTCAGCAGGCTGGTAGGAGAACCGGGAACAGAACCCAGGTCTGTTGAGTTCCCCACTAGGTTTAAAGCTGACCGTGTCCAACACGAGTTTTTCGAGCTCCTTGATGAGAAGGTGCTGGAGTGGGCAGTTGAATATTATGGGCTCTTGGTTACTATGGCGATGAGTGCTCTACCAGTGTCTGGAGATGACTGATGTGTTTAAGGAATGTTTAGTCTTGCAACAAAAGAGGGCAACAAAAATGATTAGGGGGCTGGAGCACATGACTTATGAGGAGAGGCTGAGGGAACTGGGATTGTTTAGTCTGCAGAAGAGAAGAATGAGGGAGGATTTGATAGCTGCTTTCAACTACCTGAAAGGGGGTTCCAAAGAGGATCTAGACTGTTCTCAGTGGTACCTGATGACAGAACAAGGAGTAATGGTCTCAAGTTGCAGTGGGGGAGGTTTAGGTTGGATTTCGGAAAAACTTTTTCACTAGGAGGGTGGCGAAGCACTGGAATGGGTTACCTAGGGAGGTGGTGGAATGTCCTTCCTTAGAGGTTTTTAAGGTCAGGTTTGAGAAAGCCCTGGCCGGGATGATTTAGTTGGGAATTGGTCCTGCTTTGAGCAGGGAGTTGGACTAGATGACCTCCTGAGGTCCCTTCCAACCCTGATATTCTATGATTTTATGAACGTAGCAGGGCTGTGGAGGGTTTTGCAACTCACAACAGTGTATAAGAAAACCAAAGACACCTGTTCCAGGAGTCCACATGAGAGTTACAGGGAGCACAATGGTGGTGGGGTGGGGGATGGAGTCCATGTGTTGGAGAACAGGGGTACATGGCGAGGGAGGGTCTATCTGTTGGGGTGCAGGGGGAATGGGGTTCGTAACAGGAAGGATGCCCACATGTTGGGGATTGGGGGAGCACAGGAGGGCATGAGCATGTTGGGGGCGCAGCGTGTGAGCATCTCTCTGATCATTCGCGGAGACTTGGCTCTCCACTTTAGCTGGCAAAACACGCCCCCCCAAAAAAATCACACAAGTGTCCCCTCCCCCAGCCCAAATACCTTGCCAGAGACGATTTTCTCATAGATCTGAATGGGCTGGTCCGC